GTACTTTATTTGAAGACAAAATAGTTTTGCCATTCTCATGGTTTTTTGAAACATTTTGAACACAAGTTCCTTTCCAAAAAACAAGGACAAGGATTTTGATCTTTTCTCAAGGCTAGTTGTTTGCAGATAAGGTGATTGGTTTATATTTATTCTTGGCATCTTGTTCTCTCATCCTACAGCCCCCTCACCAAAAGCTGTTCTGGTCCCAATCAGCAGTCCCACTGTGTATCTTTTTGCAGATAGCTTGCTCTCTGTCTTCACTTGCGCTTACTTGCTATAATAGTTCCAATAATTTTTTTAAAAAATTCTTTCCTTTATTTTTAACTTTATTTTTGGGGGGCAGGTGGTGGAGGTAATTAGGCTTACTTACTTATTTATTTTTAGAGGAAGTACGGGGGATTGAACCCAGGACCTTGTGCATGCTAAGCATGTACTGTACCACTGAGCTATACCCTCCCCCCTATTTCCAATTAGAGACATTTAAAATATCAAGCAACTTGGGCCTTTCAATAAAATGTGGTAAAGTATCTGAAACTTAACTTTTATACAGTTGTCTTTGGTTGACCTGTACAATTCATTTTTCTCCAACTTTTGAAGCACCTAAAATATTTCAAAAGGAATTTGGAAGACACAGCTGTGAGTCCTCTGTGGCATCAGATTTTAGCCTGGCCTGTACTCAGCAAGCACTACATTTCAGAGGGGCTCAGGGTCCCTCTGCTGGTGAGTAGTGAGAACTCTTCCAGCTCAGTCGGTGGCATGGGTTCAACGCATGGAAAGGTTAAGAACTATCAGTCTGGACTGATTATTGCCTTGAGTGTCGGCCCTGGACAGGGGTAGTTAATTGTTTCATGCATTTCTTTCAGTTTCAATCAATAGAAGTTTTGGGATGTGTAAGCATGTGCTCTGGAGCTGAAGGGCTGGGGAAGGGATCTTGGTGTCTTAATTTGCCCTCAAGATGTCATAGAACTTGGACAGTCTTTGTAGTAGCCCTAGATATTGAATAAACTGGTTTAACAATTTTAATTTTAAAACAGCTTTTGTGGTTTTTTTCTCATTGTAAAATAAATATGTTTTCTGTAGAACACTTATAAGATTTAGATAAGACAAAAGAAAGTTTAGATAAGACAAAAGAAAAAAAGAAAACATCCACCTCATCCTTAATTTAACCCACTAAACACTTTGGTTTGTATCCTTCCAGTGTTTTTTTCCTAATTTACTTATAGAAATAACTATTAACTTAAAAGAGTTTTAGAACAAACTGCTTTGTGCCCCCACTTTTTACAGTTTCATTGATAATTTATGTACAATTAAATTCATCCATTTAAAATGTATAGTTTGAAGTTTTCATAAAAGTCTGTATTTGTGCAACCATCATCATAGTTAAGTTTTAGAATAACCCCATAAAGTTCTTTCATGCCTTTTAGAAGTTGTAATTGTGAATATTATTATTTTGTCTGAAATATCCTTTTACAACATCATGTTAATGACCCTGGTATTGTTTTGTATAGTTGCATCATGATTTGTTGGACATTTAGGCTACTTTAAGTTTCTTACTGTCAAAAATTCACCATAAGAAAAAAATCTTTATAACTAAATCATTTTGTACATTCATGATTATTTCTTTCAGATTAATTCTAGAAGTGGAAGTACTGAGTCACTGGCTATAATTAGCTCCATTACTAAGCTCTGTGAAGTGAGAGCATTTTATCTGTTGGTTCACTTATTTGTCCAGGTCTGAGAACAAGGTCCAGCACACAGTATGCAACTCAGGAAATAATTGGTGAATGAATGGCTGAGTACCTATTGCTATATTGTATTCCATCAGAGAGATGCCAATTTATACTGTCATCAATAGTGTGTGATAATTTAATAGAATGTATTACTGTACATTTTAGTTTTCCAGGAAATATCTACTTAAAACTATTCTGTCCTGTTATCCCATTGATCCAAGGAAATATTCCAGGAATTCTAATATTTTGGCATCCAAATTATATCCCTTACATTGCCTGTTATATTCACAGTCATACAAAAAAAAAAACAACAAAAACCCTCTTATCAAACCATAAATGTTTTTTGGTTAGAAAACATGGTCACTTACCTATAAGGTTAGCTATTCCCCTCCCGCATCATAACATTATAAAGAATTACAAATATATTCAGACAGTTGAATATTCAAGGTAACACAAAATTACTTCAAGCCTATTTCATTAACAGTTTTAGGAGCCTTCACTATTTTCATACCTATTTCCTTGCATGTTATAATTTTATTTTATAAGCCACTGTCTTCATTTCTTTTCCTTTTTCTAAAAGGAAAAAAAAAGTAATGGATGATATACACTTAAATATGAATGATTAAGATAGTAAATTTTATGCTACTTATATTTTTCCACAAAAAATTATAAGCCCTCAAACTTGCAATATAATTATCATGTGGTTCTTTATTAAATGCACTAAAGAACAACAAAGACAAATGTAATGGATGAGATCAGCTATTTTTAAGAGTAATCCAAGTCATCTGAAGGTGTGTGGCTAAGGAGCCTTAGGAAAACTCGAATCTAATCAAGGTTCCCTGGGGGAGGGTGAAATTATTCCCTGAAACTGAAAGGTCATTGTCATCTGCTGCCTCTGCCCTCTTTCACAAACAATGAGAAACTAATGCCACTTAAGTCACATAAACTCAACTGCTTATTGCTGAGAAGGCTGTTAGGAGTTCAGAAGGGCAGCCCTGTGCCAGCTTTGCTTTTCTCCTTCTGCTGCGGTCCAGGCAGTTTGGGGCCAGATGGGGGCAGCAGAGTGTAGCTGGTTGCTAGGGAAATAACAGTGCGGCGTCTATTTACTAGTAAGAATTTGGAAAGAGAAACCATAGTATGACTTTAACTTTTTTACTGGTCAGAATTCAAAAGATGTCAACATTTCCAGCTGCTAAGAATGTACTAGACGAAAGCAAGAATAATTTTGTTATCCATGAAAAAGTAGTTTGCAATGATCTGTTTAGAAAATGTGGAAATTTCATTGTCGAAACCCTTTGAAACCTTTCCGTTTTCTTTTTCTTCCTGTGTCTACATGACATTCACTGATATCCGAAGAGGAAGAGTATACAGAGTTGTGGAAGGAATTTCTATTCACATAGGCATCATACAACCTTAAGTCCTTTGGAGAAAGTAATTCTTGGCAGACATTCCAGGACCATGTATAAGTAGAAAAAGTATCATAAAAAGACTCATTTTTAGTGTCGATCCCAATCAAATCCCCCCGGATTTTCCGCCAAAGGTTTAGCATTTGTTTCCGGTGCTCAAGGGCAATTCCCAAGTGATAGGTATCTGTAGCTCTCTTTACCTGCGGTGAGAGAAGTTTACAGTAGTTACCTTAAAATAGCTTTAGTTTGTGGACCACAATTCTAGATATCCTGAGTTATGTTTCCAGGTTACTTGAAAGTCACTGAATTTATATATTGGGTAGTGCTCCTTGAGGATGTGTGAGTTAGGAATTGATGGACCGTGAAAATGTATTACTTGGGAATAATGAGATAGTAAGAAATTTTATGAGAATTAAAAAAATAGACTAAAAAAGAGGAAAATGTGGGATGGAGATAGGTTCTGGATATATTAGGAGTGCTAAGGATGGCACTCAGTCCAGCCTAGGGCAGGGAGGGAGAAGTAAGTTGAGAATGTCCTTAAGGATTTAATGAAATTGAGGGAGTGGGTGTTAATGGGAAGGTGTTTGGGGAGAGGGGCTAGCATAAACGAAGGCTTCAAAGGTGATGAATCCGGGAGTTGGTAGGGGGAATCCAGGTACTTCGGTATGGCTAAAGTGTCAAATTTAAAGTGAGAGGGAAGGAGTGATGAGGAGAGGCAGGCAAGGTGATGTTGTCTTCCACAATCAGGCCCTAAGACTTGATCTCAGTGAGGTGGGGAGAGCCCTTAGTGAAAATCATGCTGTAGTGAGCCATGTTTCTGCTGGAAGTGAGATAAATCCCACAGCTGTGTTGGGCAGAAAATATAGTTGAAAAACCCTGCCCTCATGGAGAGGGAAGCATTCATTTCCTAAGCAGATCAGTGACAGGCTGGATTTTTGTTAGATCCATTCTCCACAGCAGCTGTGTGGAGCATAGGTTGAGCTATGAGGAAAGGGTAACAGGGTGAAGGTGATTGTCCAGGTGAGGCCTAATGAGGTCCTCAGTCAAGGCATTAGTAATAGGATGGGTTGAAGGGGATGGATTTGAAAAATCTTCGGGGTAATGGGAGTAGACAGATTTGGTGATTGGTGTACCTGAGGAGTGTGGGAAGAGTATAAACTAAGGATGGCTCCTGGCCTTCTAGTTCTGGTGACTGAGTAGACTGTAGTATCTGCAACTGAGATATGGGATCCCTGAGAAAGAGCCATTTTGATGCAGAAGATGATGAGTTCGGTTTTGGACATGCCCAGTTTGATATGCTAGGAGACAGCAGGGTAGAAATGTTCATCAGGCAGTCAGTGCAGTAAGATGGAAATACTGGAAAGAAGTCTAGGCTAGTGACAGTTAAGAGTGATCAGTATATAGGTGACAGCTGAAACAAGGAGGGTAGATTGGGATAGCTCAAGGAATACTTGCTCTCGTTCAATGCAGAGACCTCCACTGTTCTCCTGGGACAGGGTTATAGGGATGCCAAATTATTGGTTTTTTCAAGTTTCCTAGCCCTTGGGGCAGCTAGTACGTCAGGGCTGGAGCCCTGTAGCTATAAGTGGCCTCCATTTACTCCAGTGTGAATCTATGCCATGATGAGACAGAGGTTGAGAGCCCACTCCTTTCTATTGTTGTGGCATGCAGCACCGACCACCTATGGTTCCATTTATCCCAATATATTACTACTGCTCATTTTCTTCTCCATGTCTCCCACCCTCACTCCTAGTTCACTGAGAGTAGGAACTGTGTTTTTCATTCTGTGGTATCTCCTAATGCCAGAACTTTGTTACCACAGGATAAATATTTACTGAACAAATGAATGGATCAGTGTATATAGTGAGAAGAGCAGGATGATGCTAGAAAACTAGGGAATGTCAAGACTTAAGAAATGAACATTCAGGAAAGAGAAGAGAGAGGAAAGGACACAGAGCTACAAGGAGAACTGAAGATGCAGAATTGTAAAGGCCAAGGAAGTAGGAAGTGTCTAGGAGAGCTTGATTATTAGTGTCAAATGCAGAAGGCAGGCGGCATAAAATAAATACACCCAGTCTCTCTCTGGAGTACAAAAGTTGCTAAGAAGTCAGGGCATAAAAGTAGACAGGCAGCACAGAGTTGTGGTTAAAAGTGTGGATTCTGCAGCCAAGCTGCCCATGCTTATAATTCTGGCTCTATTACTTCCTAGCTGTGTGCCTCTGGGCAAGTCACTTAACCTCTTCGTGCATATCTGTAAAATGACAAGGAGTAACAGTGCTTACCTCAAAGGATTGTGTAAATGAATTAGGATCTGGAGAGCACTTGTAGAGTACATATAGAGCACAGTGCCTGGCATATAAGAAACATGCTTAAACTACTATTCTTCTTCTTCTTTTAGCTGTTGTAATAAAGATACATTCACTCATCATGATTCCCTGAATACACCCCTCACTGTGACTGTAGGTTTATTACCTTAACTATTTGCTGTTTCTGGCATGAAACAAATCAATGTCCCAGAAATTACACTGGGTATGGCTCTACAGATGATTAGATTAGCAGGGTGAATTATAAGTTAACATTTGAATCCACTTGATTATAGAGCAAGAAATGTCAGTACAATGGGTAAAAAATAGAATGACCTTGTTTCTTTTTTTTTTTTTTTTTTTTTTTTTTTTTTTTTTTAGTAAATGACCCTGTCTTAAAGACATAGGGCTTCAGAAAAAAAGCTCTTGGTTTTATGGCTGTAGTACTGAAGTAGAAAACATTTTTGTCAGTGCTTTCTAGGAAGGCATTAAACAGTGAATACTCACGTGCTGTTTAATAGCAGCTGCATCAGACACTGTCCAGTTATGCTTTCTCTTAAGCATTTGATCAATGGCGAGGATGTCAGTTGGGTAGCCTGAGCCAGGGCCGATAGGCTTTATATTTGCTGCCTTTATGCACGTTTTAAAAAGAAGGTTAGTAATGCATTTCATTTGAATTATATAACAAAGACATACACAGAAGTATACTATATTATGAAAGCACTGAACAAAAAGAACATTAAGCCAAACTCAGGGCCCTTCTAAGTACAAGGTCCTGTGTAATTGCACAGATTACACACCCATGAAGCCAGCCCTGGAAAGAGAAAAACTGGAGGAATAAGGTACAGGAGGTGAATAAAGATATAGGTGGAGACTTTGGCCTTGGAAATTAGGAAAAATTCTCACTTTTAAGAGGGAAGGAGGAAAAAAATGGCTTAAAGGATGAAGAAATCCCTAAGGTGGAAAGAAGAGTTAAAAGAATTCATATTAGATAGACTTGGAGAGACAAGATCATTAGCTGAGGGGGTGTGACAGTCTGATTTTCCAGCAGCCACTATGAGGATTTTAAGAGGGTTTACAGCAAACGAAGAAAAGCAGTACTGAGAGCCTGGATGAGACTCAGTAATACGTATTTTCAAAGAAAGTAATCCGCATATTTACATGATTTCCACCAGCATTGTTCAGCAGCCCAGGAACAGGGAAAACAGATGGCTGGTTCCCTGTGAGAATTCTAGAAGTAGTGTAGGCTGTACTCTGTAGGGCACATTCATTTTCAGTGCTTTAAAAATTTGGGTGAGGATGGAGTTGGCTCCTCTCTAACCTCCATATCCATCCCAGACATAAACTATCCTCTGGACTATACTTCTCTTATAAGTAGGCTTTCACTATTGAGAAAGAACTTGCTCGATGCCCATTTACACATGGCACTATACCAGGTGCCCCCCAAACATCTGACAAGTGGTGTAGAAATGGTCTTTTAATCATATACAAACCCCTTCATAATATATATATATGGCATATATATAGATATTTATAGTACATTAGGAATAGTATATTATAATATTTATAAATGTAGTACATGTAATAGGTGTAGTAGGTGTAGATGTAGTAATAATATACATATATGTAATATAATAAATATAAATTTATAGTATATTAGATGTAATACATAGTAAATATGTAGTATATTAGATGGTAGTAAGTGTTATGGAAAAAATAAATCAGAGAAGGTGGATAGGGTATTGGAGGTTGTGATTTTATTTAAATATGTATTTAAAAAAAATTTATAGAGGTGAAAATTCACACAATATAAAATTAACCATTTTGAAGTGAAAAATTCAGTGGCAGTTAGTACGCTGACAATGTAGATACTATGATTTTTAATAGGGTGGTTAGAGAGGGCTTCCTGAAGTAACATTTGAGTGAAGACCTAAAAGAGTTGAGGGAGAAGCTCTGCAGATATCTGAGGAATAGCATTCTTGCAGAGGGAAGTGCAAAGCCAAAGACCTCGAGATTATTAAATAGGCAACGAGGGTCTAAATCTGTGATGTCCAGTAGAACTTTGCAAAATGATGGAAAATTTTGTATTTCTGTATTCTCCAATATGATAGCCATTAGCCACACAAGATTATTGAGCATTTGAAATGTGGGTAGTATGACCAAGGAACTGAATTTGTATTTTTATTTAATTTTAATGAATTTAAATTTAAATAGTCATTGTGGCTATGATTATTGGAGGATTCAGGTTTAGATTGTGGTGTAGGACCTTGTAAGTTATTGTAAAGGTTTTGGCTTTTACTCTGTGTGATATGAAAAAAGCCACTGGAGAGTTTTGACTGATTTTAATGGAACCACTTTAGTTGCTAAGCTTATATTCTAGCTGGAGAGATTGAAATAAACAGATAAACACCACAGGTGGAGGGTTCAATGCTGGGAATTAAGTTTAAAGAGGAATAAATGTCCTCTTACTTCCATCTTGTCAGTGATATTTGCCTGTGGGTGTGAGAACAGACTGAAGGGGACAAAGGTAGAAGCAAGGAAACCATTTAAGAAGCTGTTGACAAGCACAGGGAACTATATTCAATATCCTGTAGTAACCTATAATGAAAAAGAATATGAAAATGAATATATGTATGTATATGGATGACTGAAACATTATGCTGTACACCAGAAATTGACACAGCATTGTAAACTGACTATACTTCAATTTAAAAAAAAGCTGTTGATACTATCTCCACTATCTCCACTGAGATGATTAGAGACAATCTAGCATGTAGTGTGCTCTCAAAAAATAAAGAACTTGCATCATAGTTTTCTTTCATCCAAAAAATATTGAGTCTCCTGTGGGCCAGGCTTATGGGTGATATGGGTACCTCAGTAAAAGAAATAAAGTCCTTGCCTACATGAACCTTATATTCTAGTTGGAGAGATTGACAATACACATATAAACATCACAGGTAGAGGGTTCAAAATTGGGAAATAAATTTAAAGGAATATAAATGTCCTCTTATTTCCTTCCTGTCAGTTATATTTGCCTGTATGACTTCATCTGTAGAAATAAAGACAAAGTGTGAACTTGAGGTCATTTGTGACTGTGATACTCCTCTGGGAATCTTTAAAATTTTTAAAAATTTAATTGTGGTAAGAATACTTAACATGAGATCTAGCCTCTTAACATTTTTTTTAAGTGTATAATACAGTATTGTTAACTAAAGGCACAATGTTGTATAGCAGATCTCTACAACTTACTCATCTTGCATAATTGAGACTTTATGACCATTAATTGGCAACTTCTCGTTTTTTGCCATCTTCTGCCTCTGGGACTCTAAAACCCTATTCCTGGAGGGGCTCTCTAGTGGTTTTTTAGTGATGTGAACAAAACATGAACATCTGGAACTCAGAGATGCCCCACAGAATGGGCTGATCTCCAGTCAAATCTTCATCTTGTTTCTCAGGCTGGGAGGCCTGTGACAAACCTGTGGGAAGGCCAGAGATTCCTAGAGAATATCCAGAAACTAGTGTATACTTGCCGGAGACTCATAATGACAAAGTGTATCTTGGAAAAGAGGCAAATAAGAGTAGAGGCAACAGAGCATGAAGGAGGGCCAGAAGGTGCAGCTGTGACTATAAATGGGGTTCTAGTCCAAGGGCAGAATGGTCCATCCCTTCATCACAGCACTGCTCCATTGGGTTGTGGACCTGGTCCTCTTATCTCATGGTATCTGGCCTAACCTCAATTAGAACCAGTTGAGGGAGCCTAAAACAGCTTCTGTTCTCTGAGTGGATGGGAGAGTGGTTGGAGGTAGGACCTAAGGGCCTTTTTGTTATTATTCTTATATCTCCCACCCCTAACCCAAGTTTAGAATTTTATTTTTCAGTAAGTTTAACTATTTGTTGAAATAAAATGAAATTTTTATACCTCAGCTTTAAATTTAGGAACATGGCAATAGAATCTGGTTTGAAATATAAGGACTGAAAACAAATATATATATTTTAATGGAACCAAGGTAATTCTGTTTATTTTAGGATTTTTGGGGTGAGGAGGGAGGTAATTAGGTTTATTTACTTTTTTTAGAGGCGGTACTGGGGTTTGAACCCAGGACCTCATGCATGCTAATCATGCACTCTACCACTTTGAGCTATATCCTCCCCAATGACTGAAAATATTTGCCAGTAAAAAGCATGCTACTAGTTCTGTTAAGCGAGGACTTAGAAACCTATCTATTTAACTGATAATGATATAATCTCACCTGTGTTTTCCAGTCTTTTTTATGGAAAAAATAGTTCTCAAAGAAATTCAGAGGCTCCTTTCTCCGTAGCATTTCTAATTTCTGTATGTCTTTGAATAGCTTTCCCATCACCACACCATCCACGTTAGGAAACAGTGGAAAGATGGGTATTTTTGAATATGGGCTATCTGAAAGAGGACTGCATCCTAAAAAGATAAAAAATGGCATCACAAATAATATAAGAAATACTCATAAAAGACATACATGTGGTGCCTATTTTGCTTTTTGTCTCTTCTCAGTGGCCACGACACTCCTCTCTCTTGCTCCCACCCATCCACCGACCCTCAGCTTCATCTAGTTGTCTGGGGATTCAGGTAAAAAGTTCATTTGTTTTCAAAAGATATATGTGTGACAGAGACCAGTCACTCAGAATCAGCTATGGCCCTACTCTTAAAGCACTTGGCTCTAGTATTTATTTCTGACCAGTAATATACAAATAGTGGGGAGAGGACAAATGGCTCTTACTCTTGAGTTCTTCAAGAAATTTAAATAAATCCTTTTCTTTCATTATTGCAATCCGGGCAGCATTAGCAAAGGCAGCTGTGCTTGAGCTTGGAGGTGTACATATGTCTGGCTTAAATCTCCTTTTTCCATAACCCATAGCATAGGGACTCCACAATATTCCTGAGGTGGCTTCCTGGAATTTTCTTTGGAAATAGCTAGGAAAAAAAAGTAATCCAGAAATGGATAAAAAGTGCTATAATCCTACTGAAAAAGTGCCTGAGTGCTGGACAGAAAGGAAAAAAAGTCAAGTTGCAAGTTATATATGATGAAAAAAAAAAGAGTTCATGGTAAAGTAAAAAAGAAAGTTATATATGATGAATAAATTTATTTTAAATGTAATTCATATATTCATTTAATATTATTTATTGAGTGCCTATTTCTGTGATATGTATAGAATATTTAGTGATCCCTTCCATAGGCCATTTGATTACTTTATGTATGTGATTCCTGGGCTTTGGCTTCCCCAAGACCTCCCAGTCTTGTCTAGAAAAATACTTACCGATTATGATCTTTGACAAGCCCTTAAGTGGTACCAGCTTGAATACAAACATTAATCATGCCTACTATTACGTTACTTTGTGTTGGGTTTTAAAATGCAATTTTTTTAATTAAAAGAAATTCTCATTGCAGAGAACTTGGAAAATATGGACAAGTATAAAGAAGAGTTACCAGTAATCTTCCTATCCACAGTAAATCACTATTGATTGCGGTTCTTTGCAATCTGTGTGTGTGTGTTTGTGTGTGCATGTGTTTGTGTGCACCTGTGTATGAACAGGTTTAGGAGATATGTTACTATGCATTTTAGGTTATAAATTCTTTAAGAATAAGTACAGCAGGCTATGTATGATAAGGGACTCAAATTCATAGCACAAACATCCCCAAACGTATAAACATATGATTTATAAACATGCAAACCTGAAATCAGTGACAGATCAGATTCCTTCTTGCTGCTGGAACAGAGGACTTCTCTTTGCAGCTGAGGTGGGGATCTGGTCACTCACTGCTCAGGTGGAAGAACTTGTTTCTCACTGTTTTGGTGCAGTGGGGGTTTCAGTACCAAATTGGAAGACCTCACTTCTCAGTGTGCTGAGTGGAGGAGTGCCCAAGAGAATAAGACGCAGGACCTTGCTTCTCATTATTGCAGTCTTCTGTCTGTTACAGCAACAAGAGGCTCATTTCTCTTTGAGATGGTGACAGGCAACATTTCTTTTCCTCTCAGGAAGAGGGAAAGAACTCATTCTAAATGTTGGAGCTGCAGAAGTGGGTGGGTAGATGTGCCGATAGTGTTCTGATTGGAGTGTGGTTTATAACCAGATACTTCCTTCCCTAACCTTGAACCTAACCATCCACAATGTTCTCACTTGTCTCTGAAAATAGAATAATGCTCGTTTCTCTCAGTGTAATTAATTCCTACCAGGTTCTCTAAGGCTCAGCTTTCCTTTCCTCAAAGTATTCTCTGTGGCTCTGGGTGTGGTCCTCAAACCAGCATCATCAGCAGCACTGGAAGCTTGTTAGAAATACAAATTCTTGGTCCTCACACAAACCTACTGAATGGGGCCCAGCAGCATGTTTTAACAATTGCTCCAGGTGATCCTGACGCATGCCCAATTTGAGAACTGCTGCTCTAGTCTGGAGTCTCTCCCTTCCCTGAAACTCTAATCTTTGCTTGATGATTATATAAAATGTTATATTTATAATTGTTTCCTTCTCTCCCTTGATTCCTTCCTTCCCTCCTTTTTTAATCTTTCTTTAGTAACACAGGTTTTTTAAAAAATATCTCTTGATCCTTGGATGTCTATTCATGTTTAAGAGTGAGAGTAAGCACTCTTTAGAGCCAATTGGAAGCTCTTTGGTGTGAGTGTGGTGGGTCTTATTGAGTGAGAATTTCACTGTTAGGTAATTGGTTGGAGCCTTGCTTCATCAAAGGACCTTTTAATTGTGAGTATCTGTAGGTTTTTTTCCTTGGGCTAGTCAATTTCCTGGAGAGGGATCCTCTGATATTTTACCTGAGTGGTGTAAGTCTAGCTGTCAACACCTTGGGACCTAGGGAAGGGGAAGGGGGCTGGTGGGGTCTCACCATTCAGCAAGTGGACTTTCATATAATCCTGTTTTCACTATGATACCCTCATCCTCAGTTATGTCTGGTCTCCCTAAGTCTGAACAGTCTTTCTGGTACAACCTCTTTAGAGACTTAACTGCCAGGCAGTCACTTGACTATGTAGGGCTAGAGAGAGGAATCTAAGGGTCAACCTACTTCTCATGTTACTTTTACTGGTCTTTCTGTTTTGGGTTTCCCCTGCCCTCTCTGCCGTTAGAGGTTCCTGGTGTCTCAGTTCCTGAGCCTTTCAAGTGTTCTACAGTGAGGGCTGGTGCTTCTTGACCTTCTCCACAAAGGTACTCAAGTTTCAGCTTCTGATCTGACTAGCTAGTAAATTAAGCCATCCATTTCCTTTCCAGCTTCCAAAATTATGTTGATATCTTTTGTTAGCTCTTCTCCCTGGCTTTTATGCCCTCTAAAATACTTTTACTATTATTTTAGTGCAATTTCAGAAGGGAAAAGAGGTAAAAATATACATTTATTCTCATATGTTTAACCTTATTTTTTAACTCTCTAAAATTTGGTTTTCCTCCCATCATCCTTTTGGAACTGAAGGTCATTGATGATTTCTTCACTACCACATCCAATCCTATCCATTCAGTCCTCATTTTCCTGGCCTCACTTTAGTATTTAATACTGGTGGAAAGTCTATCCTGTTTTGAATTTCTTTGTGGCCCTGGCTTCCCAACTCCATACTATCCTGGTTCTCTTCTTGACTATGAGTATTTCCTTTGCTGACTCTGTTCCCTCCCATTCCATAAATATGGGAAGTCCTTATGGGTCTGTCTTCAGTCCTGCTCTTTTCTCTCTCTGCTCTTTCTTCATTTTATGCAGATTAATGGCTGGCTTAAGTTATTTCCCCTGTATTAACAGTTTCTAAGTCTATTATTTTCACCTCAGTCTTTCTTGTATGTTTTACTTTTGCATTTCAAACTTATTGTGGGACATTTCCACTTAGCTGCCCCACACTGATTTCAAATATTTCTTGTCTAAAAATCCATCCCACCCCCCACCCATTTTATTATCATCATCTTTCTATTTGCTGGCTCCTAGTCATTCTGACTCAAATGCTGCTATTTATCTTGACCCACCCTTTTCTACTTTACTTTAAAGCCTCAGATCTTGGGATTTATGGCCTCTCTTTGCTTCCTCCACTTTCCAAGCCCGTTCTCCTCTTGCCAGAGCTATTTCTCTCATATGCTCACTTGTCTCTTGGCCATCAGTCTGTCTTTATAAGACTTTTCTATATAACACTTCCAGGTCAAACTTCCTACCCCTTTATCAAAGTCTTTCCTTCCAACTGCTCCCCTTCTCCAGCACTTTCAATGGCTTCTCAACTGCTTAGAAGGAACCTAGAGATTTCCTATATTCTGGATCCAGTCCACATTTCCAACTTTATCTCCTACTGTTTCTCTTCACAAACCTCATGTTTTAGCCAAATTACCTGTTCATTGTTTTGTAATGTCATATGCAGTCTGTTTTCTAAATCTTTTTCTCAAACATTCTCTTATTTGGGGGTGAGGTGGGGTGGGGTGGGTATAGCCCAGTAGAACACATGCCTAGAATGCACAAGGTCCTGGGTTCAATCCCTAGTACCACCATTAAATGAATAGATAGATAGATAGATAGATAGAAAGAAACTTAATTACCTTGCCCCCAAACAAACAAAATCTCTTGTTGGATTACTGAATCAGTTATATAATAGCTGTATGACCTTGGGAAAGTCATTTATATTCAATAAAATATTAAGTGCCTAGTATTATCCATGCTTTGTGCTAGGCAACTCTAGGAAACTGATACAAGAGGGGAAAGAATGTTCTAGGAAAATACTTGGAGGTTAGGGAGCATGGAGTAGTTGAGGACCTGAACCAAATTTAGTATGGGATGTGGTAGGGGAAGTTACCAGAGATGAGACTGACCAGAGAGTTAAGCAAAAGGTATTTCACAATACCTTGAAAATATCATAAGTTGGAACTTTTTCAGAAGGACATGAGAGGCCACTGTAGGGATTTTAGCAGGTAAATGACATGACCAGATCAGATCTGTACTTGGTATTGTAGGCATTCAATAGTTTCTAACTAAATGTTAGATTATTCTGGCTGCAATGTGGAAAGTGGGTAGAGATGGCAAGAATGGAGGCAGAGGCAAGGTAGGGGGATACCATGGTAATCCAAGTGTAAGAAGGTAGTGACGTACACTAGACTAGTTTCTGTAGGGACAGAGAGAAGTGCATGGATTTGAGGCATGTCTGGGAGGTAAAATAGACAGGATTTTGTGATTGGTTGGATGTAGGGGGTCAGAGAGCAGCAGCAGCAGCTGAGGCCTTTGGCTCAGGCAATTGGATAAACATGAGATGGTGAAACCCAAGTAGAAGAACTAGTAAAAGTGGAGGTGGGGGAAATGGAGATTGGGGGAAGGAGATGATTTAGGTTTTGACATTTTAGGTTTGAGGTACCTATGGGACTGCCCAATAGGCAGACAGAAACGATAGAGGCGGATCTGCGCTGGATGGACAGCCTGATCTCTATCAGGCTGCCTCCTTCTACTTGCCTGTAAATAAGATACTGGAACACAGCACTGAAGTAGGGATTAAATGAGATCATTCAACAAATATTTGCTGAGTGCCTGGTTTGTACCAGGCACTTTTCCAGACACTGGGGATGTAACAGTGAATAGAATAAAACAGACAAAAAAAATCTCTGCTCTCATGGAGTTACATTCTAGCATGAGAAAACAGATAAAACATTAAATAAGTAAATTATATGTTAGACATGATAAGCAGTATGAGGAAAAGTAAAGCAGAGAAGGGAAGACACGCAGTGGTAGCGTAGTCAGAGGAGGCTTGACTGAGAAGGTGACATCTGAACAAAGATCTGAAGGTAGTGGGATGGTGAGTCATGTGGATATCAGGGCAAAGAGCATTTTAGACAGAGGGAACAGCAAGTGCAAAGGTCTTGAGGTGGGAGCACATCCGGTGTATGAGAGAAACAGCAAGGAAGCCAGCATGGCTTGAGCAGAGTTAACAGGAAATGAAGTCAAAGAGGTCAAAGGTGAGTGCAGGCCACATAGAGGGCCAATTTAAGTCATGTCAAGACTTTATTGTTCTCTGAGGGAAATGGGAGGGTTTTGGAGGTTTTGAGCAGAGGAGTTACATGATCTGACAATGTTTCAAAAGGCTCATTTGGTGCTTTAGGAGTCAAGGAGTCAGGTAGGCAGAGGGAGTGTTGAGAGTAGACTGTGGTGCAAGTAGGGAGACTAGTCAGGAGATATCCAGGGAAAAGCTAATGTATGTCAAGTGCTTGCTCAGAACTTTGCAACAAATGGTATCAACGACTATAGGAATACCTATCAAATTCTACCATTATCCAGCTCAGGACCTGCTTTCTCAGGAAACAAATGAATGATCTCTCACTCATTTGACAATTAATTATGTAATATATTTTGTATTATTTTACTTACACATGTTTATTTAGTTATCTTCATATTTATGACTTTTTCCTCCATTTATATTTTAAGCTTCTTAAATGCAAATACTGTGTATTAAATGCTTTTGACCTCCTTGATAACAGGTATATGGTAATCAACAACCACAAACATAGTAACAGTAAAAACACCAACATCTGCTTACATTTCCTGAGCACTTACTGGGTGTGAGAGGCAGTGCAGGGAGGTGGATAAGAGCGTGGGTTCTAGAATCAGACTGCTAAAATCTAGGCCAACACTGCTCCTTTGGGCAGGTTACTTAACTGACCTGTGCGTTAGTTGTTTTTCATCTGTAAAGTGGGCATACCCAGTAAAGAGATGAAGTTAAGTGGATGATATGTATATTCTATGTTTATTCTAGTTACTTCCACATAATAATAATAGCTAACATTAATTGAGCTCTTATGATGTGCTAAACCCTTCACCTGTGTTATCACATATCCTCACATTTGCCCTATAATTGTGTTATAAGTATTATTATTCCCATTTTATAGATGAGGAAACAGAGAGAGAGAGGTTAAGCCATGTGCCAAATTTGTGTACCAACAGCAAGCATTTAATAAACATATTTGAACTGGAATGAAGAGTAGAATGTTGTGCATCCTTGGTTCCGCATCTGACTAAGGTGTAGGATAGTATAAAGAGATTATCTGTTGAAGAGCAGAGGATATTTTTACATTGTTGGTGGTATTTTTAAGTCTCTTTAGGTGGGATAGCAGAATGCTCTGAAAGAGTAAGAGTTGGAAAGACTGATAACTGCAACATTTAATTTTTGTAATACAATGACAAATAGATTGAGGAAATTTGTCTTTAGTGATATTTGTTGGAATAAACACATTTGGGTATGAGAATCTTTCCTCATCCTCTATTCTCAAGCCTAATTCTGGCTTTGCTCAGTCCAAAGACTGCTTTGGGAGGTATGAAGTTGCTGTACCTCAACTCAAAAGACGTCTTGAGAGCCCCTGGTAGTTCCAGTGTGAATAGGAGTCTCTTGTACTCAAACTAGATTTCCAAGCCCACCCAAAAAATCATTCCTGGACAACTCTTGTTCCTCTGGGATTCTCTAGCCTACGGTAGGAGAGGCTGAACTTTTCTGGCTGTCTTAGGTCCTCAGTGGGGCCCTGAGATGGTCTGAGTCAGCCTTGCAATTTCAGAACTAGGCAGTGCAGAGAGGATGAAGGAATATGGTCTCATGTTGTGGCACGTGAGCATCTGCCCATATATCTTCTCCTTTGCTTTGGAGCAGATCCTGTGGAGTAGGTTGTTAGGGAAAGGTGGCTGCATTGTTAAAATCCTCATAAATGCTTCTGAGAAGGTCATTTTTGTCCCTTTCTTTGCCACCTACCTTACTATTTCCATTATAGCTTTTCTGGGTAAGGCTGAAGTCTCTACAAGCTTTGATAGGATTTCAAACAATAGGATCCCCGGGTTGCCAGCTAAATCTAAACAGGTTTTCTTTTCTGGAACTATGGAGGGAAAGAAAGATTCAAAATGTCATCTGAAAAAAACATCTATCATAAAAAGAACTAAAGTGACAGTATTTTACTGTATATACAATATTAATACCAAGTCAAGAATTAGAGAATTATAGAAAAACATTCAAAGTCTGTTCTATTTGGTAGAAAGGTCATTTTGATTACTGAACAGACAAAATAATCATGGAATTTGAAATTAAATACTTTTAGTTCAGTGGCTTCTAAGTAAATATAGTAATGAATTTAACATAAACATGAATTATGTGTTAAGGACTATTCTGTTCTTCTGGGTAAAGGAATTATGGATAAATACATCTCTGGTTTGCAGGCAAACCCTTGTTACTATAGTGGTACTTGAATACTAAATAGTAGCTTCTATTTATCCTAAGACAGTTCACAGCTTATGAAAGGATGTATTTTTAAAACTGTTAGAATATTTGGAATTTGGAATGTGTTTATTCTGGAAAACATGATATGAATAGGGTTAGATTTTCCAAGGCAGCCTGTTAAACTTATAAACAAAAAGAGGATTATAAACATTAAATAACAATAAATCGGGTATAGCTCTACATCATTTATAACCTTGTGTGAGAACATGCTGTCTAACCTTCAGCAGACTCGACAGCCCTCACACTGATGGCAGAAGCTTCATCAGGGTGAGAAGGGTGTCTTTCAGGAACAAGGAATTATCTGCACCCAAATTCGCATATAAGAGAGAGCATTTTTCTTTTGTAAGAGGAGTGCCGCCCAAAGTAGCGCATACACTTGGTAAAGAATTAAAATACCATAAAAGGTGTCCAAAATTTTCTACATCACTGCTTGAATGTTCTCATTGGAGGCCAAAAAGCAGTGTCTTCTGCAGATGGATTTGATGCATTTAAGTTAAAATTCTAAAACTGTGTCAATTTTCTTAGCAAATTTTGTTTTAGAGAAGCAGTACAAAATAAATCAGTTTGTGCCCACCCAGGAACGACAGAAAAAAAAAAAAAGAAAGTAAATCACATTCCAGACTATACCTTCCTGATTTGAGGCCTAAGTGAATAATATTCACTATGCAGTGAATTGCAACTACCCAACTGCCATCTATTCAGTGATACCTCTACTCACCCACAGCCTTAAGGAAGCAGTTCTTATCTGTTAGCACCTTTATAAAGTCTGAGAAATTCACCTTCCCATCTCCTGCAACAGAGATGTAAGGCTCAGAACAAGAATAAATTTACCTTCTCACTTCATACCCACCTCTATATTTCTATTATTAGGATATCCCTGAGTTGCAGCCTATTTCCTCTAAAATTAAAGGATAGTGAGTGCTATTAGAGTGTTTGTACTTCAATGAAAGAATAAAAATTTAGTCAGATTTAGTGGAAACAAGTGACAGTTTAATTAAATGGTGACTGACTCACATGTGGAGCTGCTGCTGATTGAATGGGGCACTGGCAGTTGGGTGGGGAGAGGGGAAAGGAGATAATATGCTGAGTATATATTCCACACAACATACCAGCTTGGGTTACTAGTCTCTAGGTCAGTATATTCAAGAAAACATTACCTATATGCTTTAAAAAATAGCAGTAAAAATGATGTGGCATTTAAGAGTCTATATTAGGTGGGCTCTTAATGATGGAAGGAAGATTTGTACTGTTAAGATTCAAACAGAAACAAAGAGCTTGGATTTCCCTGGTAAGGTAGGCAGATAGGGTGGGGGTCCCCGGAGGAAGAGAACTAGGCATAGCTTTCTTGACATAAGAGAAGCCACTTTAGGCTTCAGCCATTTTTGATTTAAGCCTGGACACGATGCCTGTCCTTGCAGAAGAATACGCCTCATAATTAATGATTTTAAAGGAACAAAGAATGTAAGAACAAACAGGTATTACCAGGCTAGGAAAATAACTATATGGGAGACAATATATCAGTTGTAAAGACTCCCAGTTCTGTTTCAAAGGTAAAGATTAGCCTAAAGTACATACTTGAGCTGTTTTGCAGGATCCAAACCCCTCGAGCATTCAACCATCAGACTACCTAAAGCTTAAGGAATGATGACGCTGACCTCTGCTGACCCTTGTGACTTCAATCAACTGCAGCCTGGACTCTGTTGACCTTTGCCCCAATTCTGTGACTTCTCCTTTGCTCAAGCCTCTTCATGAATATGCATGTACCCTTAGTTTAAAACCTCCCCAGTTTTGCTTTGGGAAATATTCCCGGTGTTCTCCTTACTTGTTGCAAATAATAAATCCTTACTTCTCCTGTTCTTGGGCTTGGTTGTGTCTTTTGGCTCAACAGCCACCAAGAGGGGAACCCAGTTTTTGGGTAACAGTAACAGGTTATTTTTGAAATTGTCAGTGCCTTTGTATCTGTTATTTCAAGGCACCCTTCATGGTACGTCATGACAGGTAATCTGAATTTTATATTAAAGATGACAGTCACTTTTAGTTGCCATGTGGGATTTTCCAAAGAATAGCCTACTTTGTAGCATTAGTTTGATTTTATAACTTGTACATACACCTCACTGATAACTTTAAAGAGAAACACGTATCTATACTTCTGGCAAATAAGTGAGGTTTATTTCTCATGTTTACATAATCCCAGAAAAAAATTCATAAAAATCTTTTATGAAAAAAATAAGTCAAAGTACTCACGATCAATATCAGCACATTTTAATTCATTATAGACATCGTGCTTGGTTAGATTCATTCCCAACTTAGCTAAAGTGCGCATCATTCCATGTAAATCAATACAGCCAGTTTTATCCTTGTTAAAGAAGTTGTAGGCATCTTGGAAGGCTGCGGAAATGGAATTAAGTTAGAACAGTTATTTAAGAATAAATACATTTTCTAATGGAACTAGGACAGACAGTACAGTTGATTGGAGATCATGTTCTGAAAAAGTATTTAGAGAAGTGAGTATTTAATAGACTTTTTTTTTAAAGCACAGTGTCCTTCCATGAGATTTGAAGTAGAATAAAATTGATGGAAAAGCAAGTAGGCAAAATGGCTTTTGAAAGATGTCCACACCCTAATTCCTGGAGCCTGTGAAGGTATTACTTTATAGGACAAAGGGATTTTGTAGATGTAATTAAATTAGATTATCCTGAATTATCTGAATGGATTCCTTATGAAGCAAGAGAGATGTGGCAGAAGAAGTGAGAGAGATTCAAGGCATGAGAAGGACCTGAGTCACTATTGCTGGTTTGAAGATAGAGAGGACATGTGATGTGGAATGCAGGCAGCCTTAAGTGTCTGAGAGAGGCTCCTGGATGACAGCAAGGAAATGGGGACCTCAGCCCTACAACTGCAAGGAACTGCATTCTGCCAAAAACCTAAACAAGCTTGGAAGCAGATTCTCCTTCAGAGCCTCTAAATAAGGGGCCAGGCTGGATAACACCTTCATTTTGGCCTTGTAATACCCAGAGAAGAGGAATCAGGCAAGCCGACCTTATTTCTGACCTACAGAACTGTGAGGTCTGAATGTTTTGTATACACTCAGTTTTTTCAAAGAAATGCTCAAGTATTAACTGGAGCCAAACTAAGACATGTATTTTCTAAAATTAGAAAATTAAGGAATACATTCAGAATAAGGTATACCCTAAATGGCACCAGAATAAAACATTTCATATCGCATTTAAGTGAGAACATCTCAGTGTCAGAGTGGTTAATCCATAGAGGTAATACTTGATTTATAATTGTGTGAAAAGTTAACATCTTTCTCCCTTAATAAAAGGCAGGCTTCTTGAGGGCTGGAACTATCTCTGACTTGTTTCTTTTTTCTCCTAGTATTTCTAGCACGTAGTAGGTATTCATGCAGCTTAATCAACAAATATTTATTGCATGCTTTCTATGTGCTAGGTGCTGTCTGTGTGCCTAGGATATATCAGCACACTAAATAGACAAAGATCTCTACCTGTATGTAAATGTAATAAGAAGGTAAGTTAGAGAACATGTTAGAAGGTTAGAGAGTGGTAAGCACTATAGAAAAGAGAAAAAGTAATTCAGGGTGGGGGGATTGGGAGTTCCAGGGATTGAAGGATAGTTTGCTTGTATTAAAACATAAGATTTGAGCAAAGACTTGAAAGGTGAGAAAGTGGATATCTAGGAGGAGACACAGAGGGAAGAGCTAGAGCAAAGGCCCTAAGGGGACTGGGCCTGGCATATTCCAGGAACAGCAAGGATGCTAGTGTGGCTGGAGCAGAGTGAGAAGAGGAAAGGAGTAGGAAAGGTCAAGAGAGGTAATGCATATGTGGTTATGTTTTTAAATTTATTTTAAAATTTCAGACTGATTTCAGATATAGTTGCAAAGATAGCACAGAGAGGTCCTGAGATCCCTCTCCCTGTTTCCCATAATGTGAACATCCTACATTCCTGTGGTACATTTGTCACACCTAAGAAGCCTACACTGGTGGAGTCCTATTAAGTAAACTGCAGACATTATTTGGATTTCACTGTTTTTCTACCTACACCCTTTTTCTTTTTCTGTTCCAGGATCACATCCAGGATACTGTAGTCGTCACATCTTTTTAGCCTCTTCTCTATAACAGTTTATCAGACTTTCCTTTTTCCTGATGTCCTTGCCAGTTTCAAGGAGTGTTGTTCAGATATTTTGTAGAAGTCCCTCAATTTGGGTTTTTCTGATTTTTTTTCATGGTTAGTCTGAGATTATGAGTTTGGTGGAGAAAGACCACAGAAGTGAAGTGCTGTTCTCATCATTACATCCAGGCTACATACTATCAACATGACATCACTGATGATGTTAACCTTGATTATCTGGCTGACGTATATCTGTCAGATTTTTCCACCATAAAGTTACTTCCCTCCTTTTTCATATTCTGCTCTTTGGAAGCAAGTCGTTAAGGGGAGTCCAGACTCAAGGGACAGAGGCTCAGGGGTAGGGGGAGTTAAGCTCCACCTCTTGAAAGAGGTAATATCTACATATTAGTATTTGGAATTCTTTTGTAAGAGAGATTTGTCTCTTCTTCATTTTTAAAATTCAATCATTTATTTCTATCAGTAGGGACTTACAGATATGTATTTTATGCTTTGAGTTATAATCCAATTCTATTCTATTCTGTTTACTCTTTTAAAAGACTTTATTTCAGGTAAATAGCCAACATTTTTCATAGAAGTGAAATGCAGAACTAGTCCTATTAAAAACAGGCATAAAATAAGGGGCCTTACACTGCTATATTGAATGTTATTTTAGAAGTTACAGCCAGTGAAACAGAAGTAAACTTTAGGAAATGGGTTATAATATTACGTACAAATTTGTTAAGTTTGTTAGGCTTGTTAAGCTTGTACCTAGCATTATAATTAAAACTTGTTAAGCTCAAAGAAACTCACTGATTAACAAGTAGACTCAATAAGAGTTTGATAAAGAGCTTAATACAAGATTAATACCATTTATTATAATGCTATAAACCAATTAGATTATAAGATCCTATTCCCAACTGCAACAACAGATATTAAGTAGTTAGGAGTTATCTTAATGATACTATTCTACTTATTTTTGTTGTTCAAATTGTTCCAGCTCTGGCTGTTGTGAGCTCTTACAGTTTGGTTTCTGTATCCCTTTGACATGCTCCTGTTCTTTTGTATTTTGAACTCTTTCTTACTTTCTGGCACTGCCAAGACATTCCAGGTTCATCTTATATATTCTCTGCCTAAGCCCTAGAATCAGCCGCTTATCCAAGGAACTGGTTCTTTGATAGGAGACTGATTCTGGACGTCAGGATCTGGGTGCTAGGTATACTTGCTGCTGTGGGGGTGTTAGTGCTTCTAAGTCCCCTCAGCAGACTGAGCTGGGAAATATATGCACATATATTAACCCATGTGTACACACATATCTGTAATTATTTCTTGATCTATCCATCTTATACTTATTAAACTCAACATGAGTGTACACTGATGTCTCGGACACTAATTCAGTTCCACTGCTTCACTTTTTCCTTCTTCCCTTGTTTATCTGAAATTGCCCACTCCAACAGTGAGAAACCTGATTCCCACCATCTACCATCCATTTCCTTATTTATTCAATTATCGTATACATGTACAACAGTTTGAGAATTATTAATCTATACTCCTATGGGAAATAACCTTACAAATCAGAGTATGTTATTTATGGACAGTTCCTTTTGAGTTGTCTTAACTGACTAGTCAATTAAGTTTCTAGTCAAAATGTCATTTTCAATGTTACTTAGGTTGGCATCTCTTTCTCCCTCACCTGACATATTTTAACAGGATCACTGTGGCCATTGTTAGAAAAACACTTTTGTGAGGGTTTGGGTTGAAGTAGGGAGATTAGCTTCATGTAAGAGGCTATTGTAGGTGAGCAATAACAGTGCTTCAGGTCAGAGTTGTAGCAGTGGCGGTGGTAAGAAGTGACTGACTTCTAGATATATTTTAAAGGTAGAGCAGTGAGATTTCCTGATGGATTTAGAGGTAGGATGAGAGAGAAGAGTCAAGGATGATGCCAGAGTTTTTTTCCAGAACAAGTGGAAGGATGAAATATCAATATCTATGGGTAGAGCAAATTTGGAAAGTAAGAGGTTGAGGGGAGGGGAGAAAGGAGAAATAGTGGTTAAGGGATATGCAGATTCAGTTTGGGAAGATGAAAAAGTTCTGCAGGTGGATGGTAGTGATGGTTATAGAACAGTGTGAATATATTTAATGCCACTGATCTGTATGTATTCTTAAAAATGATTAAAATTATGATTTTATGTTATGTATATTTTACTACAATAAAGAGTAAGAGGAACGTTATCAGGAGTTTGGTTTTTGACATGTTGAATTTGAGGCATCTATTACATATACAATTGCATATGGCAGTTAGATATGAATCTGGAACTGGGGAGAGAGGCCTGGGCTGGAAAAATACATTTGGGGACTTTTGGCATGTAGGTATTTAAATCCTAAGACAGATGAGATCACCACTTGTGTGAGTAGGATAAAGACAAGAAGAAAAAGGAAAAGGAGTTTTGGAGACAATGAGTGTAGACATCTCTTTTGAGGAATTTTTCTTCAAAGAAGAGCAAAGAAATTGTGTGGTAACTGGAGGGGGAAATGAAGTCACAATGCATTTTTTTAGGAGAGAGAACAGTAAATTTGTATGGTAATAGGAATGATAGAGAGTGAAAAAAATTGGTGTTGGGGGGAGACAGTTTCTTTGGTAATATCTTTGAATATGAGAGAGGGGATGGGTTCTAATCCACAATGGAAAGATTGGCTTTAGATAAAAGTGTAAAGTTCATTTGTGGAAGAGGTAGGAAGACAGAGTTTGTGGGCACAGATGCTGGTTGGGGGTAGATGTGGAAGTTTTATTCTGATTGCAGAATCTGAATTCTGTGATTACAAAGAAGTAGGAAGCAAAGATATCAGTTGAGAGTGAGGATGGGAGCAGATGTTGGAGATTTGGAGGTGTTCAATAAATATTTGTAGAATGACAAATTAATACTGCATAGTGCTTAATTCTCACAACAACCACATTTTCTAGTGTCTGTAATTGATGCTTTGATATCTGGGGCCTTGCTGATCCTGGAGGGCCTACCCCTCCATAGCTAGGGACTTCCTAGAGATATTAAAAGATTTGCCTGTGAGCATGTTTTTCATATATAAACCAACCAATCCAGAGACCATATCCCCAACCACCCAATTTCTCAGGCTCTTACACTCTGGGCCACTGTTTCTCTGTCCTAATTACTGCAGAGACAACTAGGGACAACTAGGGACAGCCCTTTAACTAGGGACAGCACTGAAACCCAGAGCTCACTGAAACTATCTGAACTAGCCAATACTAAACCTGCTTATCCTGCCTCATCTTCCTGCAGAAACCACATTAAGGCTCTTGCCCACTTCCCTCTACCCTTTGCCTCCTGACTGACTCTGGTGCTTCCCTGTATCCCTCTTCATGGTGTGCTGCACCTCTGATTTCTAGGGACCTCTTGAGTATAAAAAACTTCTTCCATGACAGTCATTTCTATGGCTGTATGTCTTACAATACCTGATTAAAACAAATCGTGGGTACCCTTAAAGCACTGATGTATATTAATGTACTTCAGAAAACTTGAAATTTTATAAAGCCATAAACTGTTATTATTAAGGCATTTAGCTCAGTTTTACAGTGAAAAAATGCAGTTCTTATCTTGATAGTCTTTTCTGTTTTCCAAGCCAGCTTTCTCAGCAATAAAGGTGATTTTTTTTATTCCTGTCTCTTAGATCAATTTCTCAGTTGGTTCTAAACTTGGACGGGTGAAGTATTAGCTTTCCCAGAACCCAAACACAGCCACGCTTGACCTTTTTTTTTTTATTATTTTAGTTTTTCTAGTGTGTCACATTTTCCCTTTTCTCTGGGCCTTTGCAGATGCCTTTCTTCCCAGAACACTCTCCTCTGTGCTCTTTTCCTGATTTACTCATTATTCAGCCTTCCTTGGGACTCCTCTCCTAGCCTTGCTGAGACTAAGTTAGGAGACTTTCTGTTTTGCTCCTTTAACTCTATATTTCCCCAATCATAACTTGTGTCATATTGTAATTTAAATGGTTCAATCAACAAATTCTTGTTGTTGACCTTGTATTTTTCCTTCTCCACACCATAAGATCTTATTTGAATAAAAATATTTGGCCAGGATTGTCCAAATTCTCAAAGATGTCTATTCAAAAGTAATCTCCTTTCCACAAATTAGACTGAATTATAAAATATATATATTTTTTGCTTTCACATAACAGAGTACTGTAGACAACCCTTGAAATCCCAGATCTCACTTTGAGAAAAAAATGATCAGATATATTAAGGGGCTTTTGTTTATGCTTTCGTTTTGAAGATGGTTATTACCTTGCATTTGTGAAGGGCTCAACTTCCTTTCTTTGTGCTTTGGTTGGCATGGCAGAGGTTCTGGTATATCTTTATCCCTGCAAAAAGAGATACATATTTGAAACCAGCAAATATTAGTTCCATTCACTAGTTTTTGCCGACTGGAATGACTGTAAGCATCAAAATATATCCAGAGTCACACTACCTAAGGGACCTATTACTGTCGATTGACAATAGGTACAGGATAGACAGAAAATGTTGGCTACTGAGGTCCACCTTTGCCCTATACTTGCCCATCACCCTTACCCCCTTAAAAATCTGACTTTACCCATTTTACAAAAGAGGAAACAGACACTCAGAGGAATTAAATAACTTGTCCCAAGTCACAGAGATAATAAATGGAAGTCCTGGGATTCAAACCCAGGTTTATTTGACTCCAAAGCCAAAGAATCTAAGCCTTACCTATTCGTATTGTTAGAAATACGTTGTTTCAAATTTTTAACTAGTTTAGATAATCTTATGGTGAATACACTTAGAGTGAAACTTTTGTATTTATGTTTATTGTGTGACTTTAATTACCAAATTGTATTTTTACCAGTATTTCAGAGAGAGAGAGGTAGACTGATCTCTCTCTCTCTAGATGTCTCTATATCAGCTGTATCTATCTAGCTCTCTTTGGGAGAGAACAGTTCTGGAAAGTTTGGAACCCTGGGTGACCTTTCATTTCCTCAGGAAAATAAAATCTGGAAAAAGAGGAAAAATATTCATACTTTGGGAGTATTTTGTATAAATCTGCAGTAATTTATTATTTTAGGAACATAAAAATATATTAGGCAAAACTGGGTTTATTTATAATATGGTAATAATAAACATAACAATCATAATTTTATGAATGAATTTTATTTAAAATGCATTTAGTTTTGATACTAGTAGAACTAAAAGTTTTAAGGAATACGTAATTCCTTAGTTTTTGTGCTTTTATAAGCAGTTAAAAAGTAAAACTAAAATAAGTACTAAAACATGGTAGTTATATTAAAAATTTATATTTATTAATTTAGCATTCTGTACAGTATGTAGTAGAATCAACTCATTTTCAAAGAGGGACCTTGGAAAAAAGGAGGTTATAAGGTCTCAAAATGCACCATTCTCAATTTTTTTGACATGGAATTTGAACTAATTAGTCTTATTTTCTCAGCTTTTACTGACATTGATTTTTTTTCCTGGTGTTTCCTTTTTATTACCTACTTGATGCCTTTACTCAGATAAGTTATTTTATATTTGTCATGTGTCTAAACATAAACAGATTTCTTTTGCTTAATATAAAAGATGCAGTAGATGGAGAAATATGAAGTTCTCAAGAAGCAAGAGGAAAGTAGAAGGCCAGGAAATGTCTTTATTAGCTACATTAAAAAAAAAATACTCTTGGCAGAATTTCAAACCTTGGATTGAACATAGGAAACAGTTGTTTTTTTTTTTATTTTACAGTGTTTCAAAGGTTCAAAGAACTTTTGATTTGGAATGAACCCAGTCTAGCCTCTCATCTCATGTAGGAATTCCTTCTACATGTGGTATTATTTAGTCTTTGCTTGACTACTTTCAGTGACAAGGAAGTCACTACTTCAAAAGACAGTTTGTAATGCAAGATAAGGGAACAATGAGATCAAGGGATTTGACTGGATTTGGGATTTTGTCTTACCCACGTCCCAGTAAAAAGGCAGTAATATATTCCTGTAGCAGTGGCATAGTCAAGGACACTAGGAGAAATACCCTCAAAGTGGCAAAGAAAGTGGTTAATTGTGAGAGGAGAGAGGCTTTTCTTTCTGTAATCTGATAAAATTTACATCAGGCTTTCACTTTCAGTCATTAGTGGCTACTGTTTTTTGGAAGTTATAGTTATCAGACTAAGAAAAAAATTATTGTTAATATCATAGGCAAACCTCCCTTCTCAATTTTAGCTCAAGATTAGTCATAGCTAATTTACCAGATTCCATTTTACCGGCCATTTTTGAGCTTCAGACCCTTTCCCTATACTCTGACTTGCTTAGGGGTTTAGATCTTCTTTATGATACTCTAAATTTATTCCCCTTTAAACTGGCACTTAAAATGTCTTCATGTATAACTGACAACTTCTTAAGCCCTGTAGGCTCCTCTCACACAAAAATAGTCTCTCATTTGGGAGAATAGGAAAGAGACCTCTTTGTTTCTCTAATCAAAACGGATATATATTTTTTACTTTTCCTAAAGAATCCTTTTCTTCAATTCATATATTTTGTTTTATAACTAACTTTATCACAGAATAGATATTTGAAGAGCATTCTAACTTGTTTCATCTTGGCCTTTATGGGTACTTAATATATTCATCACCTTAATAATTCTTTATCTTAATATATTTATCATCTTAATAAATTCATTACTTACCTATTGCCATGGAAGTTGGGTACTTTTGTTAGAGGATTCAGCTCAAGTTTTGCTTTAATGTCAGAAACTGCCATGTGGCCAGTACTTCTGTCTGGAATTCAGAAGATACAATTAAGGATCAAAGCAAAGATTCTTTCCCAACTCAAGCCCTGGAGTTTGAAGTCCAGGGCCTCAAGGTATGATAATATGTGCAAATTCAAGTTAGAGGTATTTGCGAAGTTGGAATGCCATTGTGGAAGGGCCCCTTTACTATCCCAAGATCTCTAATCAAAATTTCTTGCCATTGCTCCTCCTTCAAATAGTATCATTCTGATCCTATTTAAAAAATAAATGGTAGAGCATCCTGGAAATATGCAGAAAAGTTTATTTAAAGACAAAATTTATTTTTCATCTCATAATTGACAGAGAATAAAATGTTATAGCATTTGCAAAATATTTACCGAATCATTTATATGTTGGTAGCTGCCTGGTAGTAAGATTTTCCCAGGGTTTCTTTCTGGGAGTTCCACCTGTGTCCCGTCAGTTCTTAAGAACCTACTGATCTTTCTCAAAAGTAAGAACGGGATGGGATATAATGCTGTTTTGCTACCCCAGACCCTCCTGAATGGACTTTTAATCCTTATGGACTCCGTAGTCTTTCCTTTCTGCTTCTGCATAGTTTGAGAGTCAGGGCCTATAGACCAGAAGCTGGGTTGGTAGCGCTTTCCCCTTTTATTGTTGGTTTTAACTCTCCAATTATCTTTTCAATATATAGAGTGTATTAGGCAGTTCACTGACAAAACTGGGTTGCTGGCTTAGGAATAGTAGACAATCATATACTATTGGACCATGAAGAAAAAGTCTCTGAACATTTGTTTAGAGTTCGATCAGTTTTCCCAAGTTTTCACCTCAGACCCTGGAAAGCAGCTGTTTTAAACAACTCAATTACATGTGCTTAAAATCTAGAAACCTACCACAGAGCTGGGAACTCCAGAGAGGCTTGACAATTTAGGCATTTGAAAGATGCTGTGGAATCATCCTCATGGCTCAAAATAATCATTACTTTAAAAAACTACCTTCAATCTCTCACCGAGATGACAGATTGAAAAAAAAAAAGGACTCTTTGTAGATTCCTACAAAATCTGTATATTTACCTACTTCTAAGCTGTGCTACTTAGAACTTCTGGGCTTCAATCAGATCAAGAATCCAATGAAGGGTTTGTTCCATCACACAACTGTGACCTCATTCACTTCTCAGGCTCAGGCCCAGGTGAGAATGACCTACAACTCCTTCCAGCTTTAGAATAACTGTTTTCAGTGTGGTTCATTTAGCACCGTTAAGGTATGTATGGGGGTGGGTTACAGAATTAGAATTTTGTGACACTGGTGGGATTTTAGGGAAGGGAAAGTTTTTTTTTTAATTCTGTATTAATGTATTTCATGTTAAACATTGATGAATTAAAAATTGTTCAAGTAAAACATTTTACCCAACTGCCATGGCTGAATGTTAGTTAAGAACCAATTCATTAATTGTTTACACCCAGGAAGTGGGAAAAAATCAAACTCTCATAGGTTTGTAATCTATAGTATTATTGAAAAGGGTGATCAAAGAAAGGATTATGATTATTTCAATCGGTAACTTTAATATTCTGACAAGTCTCATGGCATTTAAATCATCTAGCACAGGAGTTAGGAGTGTCTCTAGTCTTCATGATGGGTAAACACAGATACCTCTGGCAGCAGAAGCTTAGCTTAAGCCCCTCCCCAAGTTGTTTCAGGCTTCACTCGGTGCCTGCAATTCTAGAGGTTTTCTATTCCTGCTCTGGGGATTTATTTATTATGTGCATAATTTGACCTTTCCCTAGTCTTTCCAAACTTGGTACATTGCCTTTCACTATGGCTAGGGGTATGGAGGGAAAGGGAAGGTTTAATTTACATATTAAACAAATATTTAATAAGGACTGACTGTGTTAAGGACTACCAAGACAAAAGGAAGCTAATGACCACCATTCTTTCAGCTTCTATGAATTTGACTACTCTAGAAAACTCATGTAGGTAGAGTCGTAAGGTATTAGTCTTTTTGGGACTGGCTTATTTCACTTGGCATAATATTCTCAAGGTTCATCCATGCTGTAGCATGTATCAGAATTTCTTTCCTTTTTAAGGATGAGTAATATTCCATTATATGTACCACATTTTACTTAATCTATTTATGTGTTGATGGACACTTGGGTTGCTTCCACCTTTTGACTATTGTAAATAATGCTGCTGTGACACATTGGTGTACAAATTTCTCTTCAAGACCCTGCTTCCAATCTTCTGGATATATACCGAGAAGTGGAATTGCTGGATCACATGGTAATTCTATTTTTAATGTTTTGAGGAAATATTGTTTTCTATAGTGGCCACCATTTTACATTCTAACCAACAATGCACAAAGGTTCTAATTTTTTACCAGCACTTGTTGTTTTCTGTTTTTTTCGATAGTAGCCACTCTGATGGGTGTGAGATGGTATCTCTGTGGTTTCAATTTGCATTTTCCTAATGGTTAGTGATGTTGAGTGTCTTTTCATAAGCTTGTTGGTTGTTTGTATATCTACTATGGAAACATGTCCATTATAGTCTTTTACCCACTTTTAAGTCATTTTTTTGTTATGTTATAGGAGTTCTTTATATATTCTAATATTAACCCCTTATTAGATACGTGATTTGCAAATATTTTCTTCCATTCTATAAATTACCTTTTCACTCTGTTGATTGTGTCATTTGATGCACAGAAGTTTAAAATTTTTTATGTAGTTCAGTTTATCTATTTTCACATTTGTTGCCTGTGTTTTTGGTGTCATATCCAAGAAATCATTGCCAAACCCAATGTCATAAAGCTCTTCTCCAATGTTTTCTTCAAAGAGTTTTAGGTCTTATGTGAAGGGAGAAGTAGAACTTTAATATGTAGCCTGTAGCACTGAGGGAAGAATAGTCTAGAGTGAAAGAAAAGCAAAAGCATGTGGAGTAATCATGGGAGATTAGGAGACAAGGAATAGTTCAGTCCCAATAAAGGATAAAATTGCATGAAGTGAGTGTTCGCTTCGGCAGCACGTATATTAAAATTGGAGTGATACAGAGAAGATTAGCATGGCCCCCTGCGCAAGGATGACACGCAAATTTGTGGGAAAAAAACACAAACATTGCATGAAGTGAGACAGTGGGAGCAAAAAAGAAGGTGTATGTTGGGTTAGGGTTCATTATTAGAAAAGAGATTGCAAATGTTTTATTTGGCTTAAAAAACATTTTAAAAACTTGAATTTCATAAATGAAAACATAAGTAATTTAAGAGTTATCAGTTTATGACTTCTGAAAAATCCAAAGATCAGAAAACATATGGCCCACATTCCTGCTTAGGAATAACTGGCAGGAGCAGAGCAACTGTCACCCCTTCAACTGGAGCCTAAGGTTTCCTAATCACCACAATCCCCTTCATTTTTCTAGTCTCTTATACCAAGTGTGCCACTCATTTAAATCAGGTTTTTGTGGATCCATGTACATCTTGATTGTTAAGCCAAGGGAGTCTAGACTTTATTAGCATTGGGAAATCCTGAAGATACTTAAGTAGAGATGTTGCATGAATATAGCTGTTTTCTATGGGAATTAATTCAGTCATATCAATCTAAGAATTTCCCATGCTGATATTCCCTTCTGACTTTATGAAGAATAAAAAGGAAGTGAATATTAGATGGGGCATAATATCTACTTCTAGATAGTCTTCATAAAATTAGTACTACATAGGAAGTACTGGAGTTTGCCAAAGGAGAAAAGGAGCTTTAGAGGAAAAGGTTGTGTCTCACTGTGATTCATAATTTGTGGACTCTGAAAACGTAATATCTTAGCGTAATATCTAATTCATCCTGTACAGTTAAAGATATATAAGCCTAAGGAGAAGAGACTCTTACCATTTCCTTCAGTTACCAGACTGATGGGAACTGGATTTTTCAGGGGGGAAAAAAAGTACCTACCTCCCTGTTAGAGATACTGCTCTGTTAGGCCAATCAGAAGATTAAGACTCTCAGATGACAATGTTAAATTTTACCTGAGACTTGTGATCCTGAAAAACTGAAATTTAAAGGAATGCTCTCACCCTTTTATGCTCTGGATAATAGCTGACTGCAAAGAACCACTTTTCCTCAAATGATTTAGATTCACTACATACCCCTCTTGGTTACCTGGGACAAGACCAAACATCTTCAAAATTCCCTTATTTTGCCTCATAAATGACTAGCGGAAGTGTTTTATCCCCACTGATTAGTCAGAACAAAATGCTTATTAACCTAACTTTTTTAAGCTCCTCTCCTTCCTCCTAGCCCCTGAACTTTGGTCCACCTTCAACCTGAGCCAGCCAGCATGCAACACCTCCAGAGAATAGGCTGGCCTCTTGGTAAAATATTCTCTGATCTATTTATCCTATCATGCCACTCTTTCATCCCATTTCCCCATATCCAGTTCTTAGACTTGTTTACTTATCTCTATAAAGGAAAACCCTTTTTGCCTAGCCCTTGAGATGCCTGCAGATCTTATGGCCACAGTGTTTTCCCTATTGCAACAGTCACCCCTCCTCCTATTTCAATAGTCTTTTTCCTCCCTTGCAGTCATCTTTTTGAATAAAATCTCTTCATACTAAGTCCATATTTGTTTTTTATTGACATGATACTGGCCAATAGATAAAGAACACCCCCTGAATCACAGATAAGAAGGCTAGAGAAACTCAGTATCTTTTAAATTAACTTTTGGTTAGACTCCCATGTTATTAATTACATTATCTACAACTTTTCATATAGGTTTAAATCCTTTGGTTTCCTGAAAAATTATCCCAGCCCCTACCCTCCAAAATACTCCTGTCACACATCACAGATTTTTTGATACTACATGGGTCGCTGGGATAAGAGTTCAATATATGTCCACTAAAAGAGTTCAAAAGTCACCTCAGTTATAAGCAAGATCTTATGACTATATCACTGTATAAATCTGCTTCAGACTATGGATATGAGATAATGTAAACTAATTTTTAAAAAAGAAAGAAAGAAAAGGAAAGAATCTTTAGAAACTGTTTTGAAAAATATCTGGCAAAGTAAATGTACTTTAGTTTCCATTTTTCTGTTTAGAGGTAAATTCTGCCCTTACGGATTCAAATAACTTGATGAACAAGTGTGAATTAACAACAGCACAAAAGGGTTTCCTGCCAAAAAAAGAAAAAGAAATCATATCCCTGTTTAGGAGATGCAAGTAATTATATTTAACTACCTGAAGTTATTCCTTCAATGTAACACTTATAGCATAATACCTAATAGATATTTCTCAACTCAGAGATATATTCAAAAGTTAGCAAAAGCAGTTTATAGATCATAAATCACAGGAGATCATCCAGTCCCTTAACTTTACCTTTTGTGATGTAAGGAGAAGTAGAGAAAGCCAAATTCAAATGGCTGGAGGGGAGGGTATAGCCCAAGTGGTAGAGTACATGCTTAGCATGCATGAGGTCCTGGGTTCAATCCCAGGTACCTCCTCTAAAAATAAGTTAAAACTAATTACCTCCCTCACCCCTGCCAAAATAAAATAAATAATAAACAAGTGACAGAAAATTCAGTTATATTTATTTACTCAAATAAACCCAGTTAAGCAGAATTACTAACCCAGTAATTGGGAATGCTATTGAATGCTTACTGTGTAGTAAACATTATGATAAACATTTTCAAGTGAATTATTTCATTTATTCTTCACAACTATCTCTCAAGGAATTATCATTATCTCTATTTTACAGATGAGGAAAATAAAGGCTTAGACCAAATTGCCCAAGATTACCCAACCAACAAATAGTGGAGTCAGAATTTGAATTCAGGCAGCCTAACTCAACAGCTTACTGTCTTCAGCATCACACAACACTACCTCTTAAAACAATACGATTGCAAACAAAAGATGTTTTAGCAATTCCACACCATGTAAATATGATAACCAACTTTAGAAATTTAGAATTTCCCAAATTTTTCACAATATCTTTTACTCATATCTGAGTCACATTTGATGAGTGGTTTATTACATTGCTAGTTACATTAAATTGTTAGCTGCAATTATTAGTGTCTTTTTCATACTGTGAATTTTAACTTCAAGTATTAATATTCTAATAGAGAGATAGTACTTTAAAATAATTTATTTCTGAAATATTCATTTCTGTTTAATGTGGTATGTCCAACATTCCTGGAATTCAGAACATGTTAAAAATAAAATGAAAACATGTTAAAAAAAATCTCAGAAGACATTAGAAGGCTATATAGGTTTCCCCAGTAACCCACTCTGTGTAACCCTTCTAGAGCTTCTCTAACCAGATCAATTTTTACCTCTAAACCTCTTCGCATAGCACTTACTGTCCTCACTATTCTTGTTGCCTTCATTATTCAACTGGCATTAATCATTTGCCTTGTATTTCTATTTAATTATCACATGTATAGCTCTTATACCAACTAAAGCTTAAATTTCTAAGGAATGGGCTGGTAACTTATGATTCTTTGAATTATTTCTCAGAGTATCAAGCACAATGCTATATACATATTATGAAAGAAGGACAGAAAGAAGGGAGGAAAAGAGAGAGGGAGAGAGGGAGGGAAGGACAAAAGGAGGAGGAGGAGGGAGGGAAGAGTAAGAGAAGGAAGGAAAGAAAGAATTTTCTCCCTACTGAGCTTACTCACCAAAAGTTCTTAGGTTATCAAACTACTTAGTTAAGCAGAGTAAGCAAGATTTAAATAAACCTTGAAAGGAAGAACTGTTTCATAACTATTGACCAGTTTATCAAAAAGTTGGCAGGTCTTAATCTGCTGGATAAATCAGATACCACATAATTCTCTCTCTCTAAGCTAAGAAAAAAAAAGCACAGGAAGTCTCTCCCTCATGACTCTGACAACAGAATTGTTTCTCAACTTTTTCAATCCTATGACATATATGTGAATTTGCAAGGATAAACCAAGAAAAATGAAGGATTGTATCCCTTTTCTCCAATCCATTCATACCTCCATCAATGAATTCAACACATCCATACTGCACACATACTATGTGCAAGGCTTTCTTCCAGGCTCTGGGGATATAGCAGTGAACAAGACAGAAAAAAAAAATCCTGTCCTCTTGGAGCTTACATTCTAGCCAGAGAGGAAGACAATAAAATAGATAAATAAGTAAAATATATAGTATGTTATCTGTGATAAGTACTAAGGGAAAAAATGTAAAGTGAGGGAGAAGAATCTTTAGTATGGTGTTGGGGGAGAGATGCAAGGTACAGATTAGGGTGGCCAAGGAAGACCTTACTGAAAGGGAGACTTGAGAGTACAGACCTGAAAGAATTAAAGTAGGGAGCCAATAAATATCTTAGGGAAGAGCATTTCAGCCAGAGAGAAAAGCAAGCATAAAGGCTCTAAAGCAAGAAGGGGTTTGAACGTTCAAGGAATGGTGGGAAGGCATGAGGCTGAAGCAGAGAAAGCAAAGGGGAAAGGAAATCAGAGTGGTCAAGGGAAGAGCGCAGATCATGCAGGGTCCCTAGATCATAGTAAGAATTTTGGCCTGTACTCTGAGGAGACAGGAAGCCATTCAAGAGTTTTGTGCAGAGAGATGACATGATCTAAAGTTCTTTCTAAAAGGATCATTCTGGTCACTATAGGAGGAAAATCAGGTGGGTATGGGTGCCTGAAAGCCAAGTGAAAAAAAAGTACTTCAAAAGAAGAATGATAGTCTATATGACTATACTTCAATATAAACAAACCAACAAACAAACAAATAAATTTTAAAAATAAAATATAAAAAAAGAAGAATGAGTAATCAACTGTGACAAATGCTGCTGTTAGTTCAAGTAAGATGAGTACTGAACGATTCATTAGATTTTGCAACATGGAGGGCACCAACTACCCCAAAAGGAGCCATTTGGGTATTACAAATAAGGAAATAATGTCATTGGAGTGATGTTAAGAGAAAATGGGGGACAGAAACTGGAGATAACCAAAAGAGATGACTCAAGGAGTTATGCTATAAAAGGATAGAGAAATGAGGTAGTAGTTGAGGAGTAAGAGGGGTTATGAAGATTTAAGATGGGAAAAAATAAAGGCATATGCATATGATGATAGAAATAATCCAGTAGAGAGCAAAAACTGATCACACAGG